GTTCTACTGATTATTGTTAATGTAGAATGAGTTTGAAGTCCAAGTTTTAAATTGTACATCTTCTTATGCTTCTTTTCTTTACAAGGCATTAATCTAGCATAGCAAAGATTCTTGTAGATTTAATTGTGGCTTTAACACTTGGCTTATCAAAAGATATATCTTCACAGCCTTACAACTTGAATGGACTAAACTTCATAATAAAGTTAGTAAAATAATTTTGTTGAAGAACTTTTATTGAAACAGGACAAAAGACATCAAGAAAACATACTTGATCACTTTTCTAATTGTAAGGACTTCTATATATGTCTTTCCTCTGCTTTATTTCAGAACTGGGACAGTCAGGTCCATAGGTTCTATCAGTGAAATCTAGTTGTTATAGTCAGAGTTAGAAACCAAGCAAGGCTGATAGCAAGGCAGACACACTGGAGCAACTAAAGATGCAGGCATGTACTTTGACCAATCTTTGGCCTAGTGCTGCAGCTGTACTAGGAGCAGATCTGTTGATGCTTTTCAGCCAATCCAGAGTCTGGACAATCAGTGTGGTCAGCTGCAGGTCAAATACCTGGTTCACAGTTCAACTGAAGATTCAGATTCCTGATACACTGACTCTGTATGACTTGATTTTTGAGTGAATTTTGGGAACTTGGAGTGAATTTTGACCTTAACTGAAGGTCAGAAGATGTCTGTTTTCTCTTAAGCTCCATCTTTTATCAAGTTACCGTATTTGGGTTTTTGTTTTGTTTTGTTTTGTTTTTGTTGCCTCTTCTTTATAGTTTGTTTTATATATATGCCAAAGATTATACAGGCAGAAAACGAAGTGGTAGGAAAACCTGAATATGCAAATCCCAGCTATTGATTGTCATAAAATTAAACCACATTTTATTAGCCTTCAGTTAAAGCTTTTAATGTTTTATGTTTTACATTAAGTACAGAATGTCAAACAAAGTTTTACTGACTTTTTATGTATATTATCTCTCAATATTGGCAAGTTCTTCCCCTGTCAGTACTGCAGTTTATTTTATTCTATTGCCTGTTTGTAACAGTATCTTTCCACCTTTGTTATAATATTAGATCTCTGGAAATTTGACAAGTGGGGAAAGTACCTGGTATAATCATGTAACTTCATTTCTCAATCCTTAGTTCATTAGCCAACTTAGCTAATATCTACAAAATGTACCAGTTCCATTCACTTTGAAGTTTTAGTTGTGTTTTTATTGTTGTTGGCTAAGCTCTGTTGTTGACTAAGCTCTGTTATTATTGCACTCCCTTGAGAGAATTATAGTTTACATATTTCTCAAGGATCACTAAAGTTTAGTTAGCCATTTTGTATACATTTAGCATAAGATGTTACCTTTTAATTCTGTCTCAACATTTATGCCTTATAAAATGTAAAGGAAATTAATGCACACTTTTAAAATGGCTTTTACCTACTATTAAACAAGCAGGAGAATCAGAGTTAAAATTGAAACTCCCTTCTCCAGGGGCTTCTGTTATCAGCCTCTGCCAGAGAGCATTATAGCAGTTAATTTTCAAAGAGATAGGTTTAGATTATTGTGGCAGAATCATTGTCTGTCTGAGAGAAGCAGACTCTATTATCTTTCCATTTGGTATGAAAAAGGTATTTCTGGGCACTGTTACAATTTAAGAATCTGAGCCTAAAACTAGGGATAGAATCCCAGACTACTCACCTGTGTGATTGATGGGCAGATTGCTTCAGCTGATAAAGCTGTCTTTTGTCTTTGGAAATCTTCAGATTTCTCCCTGCCCACCAGTATCATCTGCTAATTTCTTTCATTAAGTTGAGTTAGTTATAATTCATAGAAGTGCTTATTTCTTCCATGTAGATGGGAAAAGGGCACTCTGCTGCAGAAGCGAGTGATTATTGGTGACAAGCAACTAAATATATAGCTGACATTTGAGTAGCATCTACAGTCTCTTAATGGTTAGATATAAACACTGAAGAGAAGAAGGGAAAGGACTAAGCCCTGTTGGGTTTAGCAAGTGAAGGTTCTCTCTGAGGCAGAGTAGGTACTCAGTGATCCTCTGTACTGTGTCTAAGAGGAATTTTCAGAATTATCTTCAAGCAGATCTCTTGAGGATCCTGAGAGAGGAGGTAGAGATGAGTAGATTTAGATGCTCCATAGTCGTGACATAACAGCAAAGGTTTTCTTTCTTTGTTGTGTCATCAGCAATGTGCCCTCAATCTTTGTCTTTAATCAGAAGGTAGACAGGAAGGGGTGAACTCAAAATATAAACTAAAACGGTACTGAAAGTGGAAATTTTTAAAAACGTTATTTTGGCTGTGCGGGGAATTTGGTTCCCTCTCTTACCGTGTGGTTGAGGTTGAGAATTGCCCTTAAGACACACAAAACAGTGAAAGTCTTTCCTTTTCACATTTATGGGCAACCATAAATGTGTAATACTGTATATCTTTTGCCTTCTAACTCCATGACTTATGCGGAGGATTTAAAAGTTGTAATAGGACATTAGATGATTAAGATGCTAAAGGAGCAATAAAGGAAGAGAAGGCTAGAAGGCTTTTGCTGAGAAGCTAAATAATTTCTTTGCATTAGTCTTCTCTACAGAGGATGGTAAGGGGTGGGGGCCTCACACCTGAATCATTCCTTTTACTAGGGATTTGATAATGTACATGTGTAAACCGTTAACCGATGAGCCTGGACTCATCATTTAACTTTCATGGTTACACAAAGACCCCCACCCCCTGCGCTGTTGTCTCTGTATCAGTGGCAGCAGGCCAGGTGATGGCGGGGGAGGAGGGGAGCTCCCCAGGAGCCGGTGTGCATTTTAACATCCCTGCCTTTTACATGACAAATCTGAAGAACTATCCCAAACAGAAGTGTCAGTAAAGGACATTATGAAATAAGCTGACAAATTAAATAGAAATAAATCATCAGGACTGCAAGGTGTAGTCTCCAAAGAATTCTGAAGGAACTCACATGTGAATTTCAGAACTACTGAATGTGGTATGATGGTTAAATGAGTTTCTATACTGTATGACTGGAGAGTAGCTATTGTAATATTGATTTTTTTCAGATGGCTCTCAAGGTGATCCTGGCAACTACAGGCCAGTAATACCAACTTAACACTAATTGGTTAAAACGATAATAAGAACAAAATTATCAGACATATAGATGAACATAATATGTTGAGGAAGGATCAGCACAGACTTTGTAAAAGGAAATCATGCCTTACCAATTTATTAGAATTTTGTGAGGATGGTTGAAGGTGTGGGCATACTATAGATTTATATAGTGGCATTATGATATTTTCTATTTCATTCTCTATTCCTTTTTCCTAATACAGTAAACTTCTGATAATCCGGCACCTTTAGGACCCAGGGGGTGCCGGATTATCAGAATTGCCGGACTATCGGAAGGGAGGGCTATGAGGGGCATGGGGTGGGGTGGGATGCCACCCCAGACCCCTCATAGCCCCCCCTTCTGATAGTCCAGATCTGCCCCAGGCGTCCCTGATTCAGCCACTGCTGATCAGTTT